TCAATAACAAAGGCAAAAAATTTAATAAATAATCTGATAGTGTTATTCTGCAAAGCTAAAATCAAGAATCTGAGAACCCATTTTCAACTTTTTAATTCAATTATCATTAACTCGATGTGTTACGCATCTCCTATCTGGTCTACAGGTAAATTCAACGAATTCGAAAAAATACAAAATACTTTTATCCGCAAAATTTTCCAATTAGAATACAATATACCAGGCAGTGCTCTAAGAATGGAACTAAGTAGATATAAATTAAACACCATATTAATAAAAAGGTACATAAAATTTCTACAAAAAATTATAAACGCTGAAGATCTAACAACAAAATTACTGAATGTGTTATATCAAAAATCAAAGATCACAGATTCAAAACGAAATTGGATAGTACTGTACATCTCTCGAAGATATTTAACACATACGGATTTTTGATGAGTCTATTTATGGATCAGTCATACAACAGTGAGCAGCAAAATAATTTATTAATACAAAGAGTAATGGAAAACTCTATTGTCCAAGATATCGATGACATACAAAAACGAAATAATACAAGTTGGTATAAAATAATTTTAAATTACCCATCAACAAATAGTTATATGCTGACAAATCTCTCATTTAATGTTAAAAAAATTTTTTATACAGTTAAGACTAAACAAAAACTGGATAAATATAAACAATAAATTCCTAGACTACTCTCACACCAAATGCCCAAGCTGTAGTAAGACATTATCTAAATTTCATATTCTTTGTGAAAATTGCAGTGAAAATTGTAACATTCAACAATCAGATATTGGTCGATTAGTTAACTGCTCTAATGAAACGGATATGTATAAGTTCCTTGACAAAGCAATCATCAATATTATCTTTAAATTATATAATTATACGAAGCAACTTATGAATAAAAAATGCAGTGTTAATTACTAAATAATGTACTACATATTAGATAACTAATGTTTATTATATATATGGAAGAAATTTCTAAAGGTGGAGGACATATATCCTGTATAAGTTAATCACGTCCTTGTAACAGGCGAAAGCCTTATACGATAAATAAACTTTTTTTTTTTTTTTTTCAAATCAAATCAATGTCAGCATACTGCTCTGGGGTACCCAGGAATGAATCAGGAAGAGCCAAAAAATTCTAAGGATTTTTCAACTCATAGTGATCTGTTACAGATATGTTGAACCATGTTCCTCACCATCCAGCAACCCCCTTTATGAACCCTGGCCAAATTCATGATGAGCTTGATATAAAGATCCTTATTAGTGTATGCAAGATAGAGAGTCAAGAGAGAAAAATACCATTCTAATATATGAAAAAAGAAAAGTAATCAAAAAGCAAAAATTAAAAAAAAAATGTTATTGAATTTTTAAAACATGGATTTCCATGTAATAAATTTAATAGCCAGCATCTATCATTTTATATAATTTGAAACAAAACATTTGCAGGTTTCAAGTTCTTAAAGACATTTGGAAACAAGTCATCCAATGAACATCAAAAACTTATTTTTCTAAAGAAAACCATCCAATTTCATCAAAAGATTTGAAAATTTTATTATTAAAACAAACTATAAAACAAAATGCTTTTAAAAACTGATACTTGAAAGCATCAGCAAAAAAAGTAGACAATCAGGGGACGTGGACAGTGTTATCAAAAAACTAATTATCTGCACAAAAAGTGAATAGTTGAGAGATATAAAAATGATATTGTAGATTCATTCTTTCAAATTGATATATAATAATACTTGTAACTGATCATAGAATTTGAAAAAAAGTTAGAATGTGTTCTTAGATGATTATTATTTTACTGATGTTATATTCATAAATAAGATAAAAAAAATCAATTTGCAGTAAAGCATTTTTATCACTTACTTTTAATACCTTCAGAAATTATAATTTAAATAAATATATGAAATCAATTTAATTATAAATGTTTTTGGTGATTTTCATAATTAAATTGCATTTTGCTGCTTACAAAGGTTTCACATGTGTTTGAATATCCATAATTGCAGTTTATATTTCTTAAATAAATAAATAAATTACTGTTAATTCTAGAAAGCCAACTGTTCATCAAATAAAAGAAATATTTTTCAATCAAAATCTGATTATCCTCAGCCTAAAATCTTGAATTGAATAGTTTAGTGTAACATAAGGCTATCCATAAGTTAGGTAATGTATATGTGGGTGAGTATGCAGCAGTGACATGCAGTGACATTTGATGATAGGAAGCTGTGCTGGCCCTGGATAGAATCATTGAAAGCGTTTTAAGATATTTTAGTGTGTAGCATCCACAAGCTAAACTGTGTGAGGTTGGTGCTCTGCAAAGTGCATGCGTAATGCCTGTAATCTGGCTGCTTTACACCATTCAGATATTTTTGCCGTGGAAGCTGTCTCATATTTGACAATACAGCACTTCCATTGAGAATATGCATATATGAATTTATATTAAAATATACAATAGCAATCTTATCATTTTTCCATATGTAGTATAGAAATTTGTAATAAGATACATAATGAGATTATAATAAAATATTAATTTTAATTAATTCAAAATACAAGGTGCGTTCCATAAATAATGTGACCAAATTCATAAAAAATCATTTATTGAACATATTCTTACAATTAGTCAAAAATCTTCGAAATAGCACCCTCCTGCATTGATACACTTTTGAAGGCAGTGTTTCCAGGTCTGGAAGGCATTCTGGAAGGCCTTCTCCGGAATGTCCTTTAGAGCTGATGTAACATAAGCCTTGATGTTTTCAATCGTGTCCCAATGTTTCCCTTTCATGGCCCCTTTTAAGCAAGGAAACAAAAAAATGTCAGCAGGAGCCAGGTCAGGACTGTAAGGTGGCTGTGGAACCAACGGGGTGTGGGTCCTGGCCAGGAAATTGTTAACAATGAAGGCGCTGTAGCTTGGCGCATTGTTGTGATGAAGTTTCCATGTGTCCTTGATGTCACTTCGGCAGCGCACGACCCTCCTTTTCAGTCTTTTGAGCACTTCCAAGTAGAAAGCTGCATTTACACTGGTCCCAGCAGGTACGAATTCATGGTGGATAATGCCTCTGATGTCAAAAAAGTCAATGAGCATGGTTTTGATCCTGAATTTGCTTAAGCTTGCTTTCTTGGGGTGGGTGACTTGTGCCATCAGAAAACTTGTGATTTGGACAAGCAATCACTCCCAAAGGCCTGCTGAATTAATGTAAAGGTTTCGGTGGCAGACTTCCCAAGTTTAACACAAAATTTGATAGCGTAACGTTGCTCCATAAAATGATCCACCAGCAGCTTGGAAGCAAATGAGACCGAGTGAGTTTTGAAGCTAACACCCCATGCCACCTAGAGTTAGAACTAGATACGGCATATCATCGTGTCATGAAAAAATTGGTCGCATTACTTATGGAACGCACCTTGTACGTTAAAATATGAAAATAATCACACAATATGTATTTATATTTTAGAAAATACAAGGGAAGCAATGCTTCCACAGCTTCCATGGACGGCATGCCACTGGTATGCAGATAATTATTATGATGACAAGGGGGTTGGGGTGTTTTCAAAAATGCTACATAATATTAAGGTAACAGAAAAATCAAGAATCATTTTTGCTTATGGAGTGTTGCATGGTGAACCATACTGTTTACCTGGTATGTCACTTTGTTCTATGTAATGCATGTAATTAACAAACTGTGACTCTGGATATTATTGTTTTTCTATAACTATTTGTAAGTGATTCAAGATTTTCTAAGTGTATCAAATATGATCAAAGTCAAAATTTTTTAGATTTAATCATTTTTGATATTTATATAAATGTTATTTTATTTAGTCACTTACTATTAGAACAATTTTTAATTAATTGTTGATAAATGCTGATATAATAAATTACAACCATCATTTTTGTGCTTTGCAATTTTTGTTTAAAGTTTTATTACTATTATAAGCAAAAATCATCAGTCTATAATACAATATTTATTATATATTTTAATAGACTGTTTATTATAATAATGAGTAACAAATTCATACAATAATTTTGCAACACATTGTTTATTCCAATCATTGTTAATAGTAGTATTATCATTAATTCTATTACCACAGTGTTATTACTATGTGAAACTTAAAATAGGTACATTGTAATTTGTAAATAGGTACATAGTAATTTGTAATTTTACAAATTACTATGTACCTATTTACTATGTACCTAAATTACTATGTACACTGTGGTAATAGAATATACAAATTCTATTATTATGTTCTTTATTTTAAATTAATGCAAAAATTCTATAAAGGTAATGTAAACCACACTCTAAATCAGTGGTTCCCAAAGTGGTTGCTACTACCCCCTGTGATTTAAGGGGTCAAAAAGAAGCAAGTGGGTGGCAGGGTACCAATGGGCGAGGGTTGGGGTCACTGACCACCTTTTCCTTTCCTCTGTTAAAATGGACAAAAAGAAACATTGCATTTAATGGTTTCCAGATGTGGAGAGCAATGTACAGTAAGTGTGAGGTTCATAGAAAAGTTTATCTAAGAATATTTCCAAGCCTTTCTCACACAAGAAAAAATTGGGCTAGGAGCATTGGGTATAAGTTTATGGAACCAAGGAGGCAGTGGTTCAAAAAAGTTTGGGAATCACTGCTCTAAATGCTGGATATTGTTACTAATATAAACACCAAACTACACTTTAATCCAGTAGAGAACAATAATTTTAATGAATAAGGTTGAAAACATTAGTTTGATATTAAAATTTTTATTCTCTATTGGATTAAGGTGCAGTTTGGTGTTTTTAGTCTATAAAGTTGATAATCCTTAACTTTTTCTTTTAGTAATATGGATGTTTTCATATCTCTACCTTGATATGATAAACATTTAAATTTAAATATTTTATCATAGAGATTTATCATATAGAGATCTATTTATCGTAGAGAATGACTTAAATACAAAACAAGCAAGAATCAAATAAAAATTTAAGAAATAAAATTACAGTTCCTATAAATTTTATAATTCATTACTTGTATCCAGAGACATCATTTTGTGTTCTTGTGCGAAAATAATTGAAGACAAATTTCACTTGTTCTTCAGGTTTACCAAGAAAAACATATTCACATTCTGTATGGGATGGATAATTGGAAGGATAGCGAGGTGAATTAAATTCACCAGTCTGATCACTTTCGCTCAAATAAGTAAATGTACATGATCCATCTGGTTTAGCAGTACCTGGTATTTTGTAATCTAAAATAAAAATAATGATATTAATTTAGTATCATACAATAATTTAAAATTTATCTGTTAAGAGAAACATAATTAAATTACAATGAAAATATTCTCAAAACTTTTAAGTTAAAAATATGATTTATTATTTTCAGTTAAAAACAGGAAAATAATAAATTAAAACTTTATTTATTATGAAGAACTTACTTACTATAAAGATAGATAAATAAAGATTTTCATTAAATATTTTGTAATAATAATTTTTATAACACCAGTACTAATATAATTCTTAAAGATAAAGAGAGTGGATATCATAGGTAGGCTTGCCAATGTCCCAGTTAGAGAAAAAGTTTCAAAAATTTATGTAAATTAATAATACAGAGGAGAAACTTTCTCATAGAACCGTAAGCCAAGAGAGCTGGCTATAACATATCTTGAACATGACATCCAGCACCAGCACTACTGTCAGTTCCCTCTCTTTCCTACTCCAAGACACCCTTACTGCTTTCCACACATCTTGTCGAATAAGAGCAAAGATAAGATAATATGTGCCTTGAGTCAGTTAGTGACTAATTATTTATTATGCATATTGTTTTCTTGTCTTAAGCCATAATTTTGTGTTGCATGAAATTTAAATATGTTGAATTGTAATAATGGGGAGATGTGAGGAGTGCTTCAGTCATCTATCCTGGTTTGACATTGTGAAAATCTGGTAAAACTAATTATAGGGATGTTTCTGTTCAAGAAAGATACCAGAGAAAAATATTATGTTAATACAAAAGATCCAATAGAAAGATAAACAATTGTAATAACTACAATAGTTGTATTTAGTACAGTAATAAGAAATAAATTAAGCATATCATAAAATAGTAAGCTCTTATCTGGTTCTTTTCCTTGGAATAGAACTACAGTCGACCCCCCTATAATTACGGTCCCTATAATTACGATTCCTATAAAACTACGAAAAAATATACGTATTTTGGAAATGTTGAGTCGGATTAGTGTAGAATCGATTAATTTTATGGAAGAAAACCTTTCAATCAGCCGTAGTCCGTAAACTTGACATGTGTCGGGCTGTGATTGGAACGACTTGTAAGAAATCGGATTCCTAATAAATTGGAACGTATCTATATCTTATAGGGGGGTCGACTGTATCCTTGTAAAAGAACAGCTCAAATAAAAATATTAGATAAGAAATCAACCTGAAATACATTTCCTGTTGTAAAAACAAAGTGGAAATAATATTCTTTATTTATAAGATGTCTATGATAAAAATGAGCTATGCAGATGAAAGACTAATAACATTTATATACACAGACAGATACATAACATATAAATGATAAATCATATAGTTGAAAGATTGAAATTTCTAACAGTATCAACCTCAGAGTAAAAATATAAAACATGAAATAAAACTGGAATAAAATTTAATTAATCATATAATAGACACAAAATGAATACACACACTGATACTGATTGGACAATGAGATAAATTCTTCTAAAATTCAGTCAAAGTTCAGCCATGATAAATCTAATATAGAATAGAAAAAAAATTACTGAAGTCTATCTTGTATTTCCAACATAATAGCTTAATAAGATTAAGATATACCACAACAAAATGTCTGCTGAATTCATTTACTGAATTTCACATGAGAGAATTCAGGTATAAAAATTTAGTATATTCATTTTGTGTTTAAATGTATTAGATAATTTTCTCATCTATATAAACAAAAATAAGTAACAAATAAAATCAGATCATGCAATATTACATTTCCAATTTTTCTTGTTTCCATTTGAAAGGTATCTTTCATTTTCTACAAATCTAATCACTAAGAAAAGATCATCTATGAAGATGATGCTAGTATGCTAAAAAAAAAAGTGAAGAGAACTTTCCACCTTATCATGACAGCTTATAAAATTATTTATAAACAGGAACTATGCATATAACCTCACTTAATCAGTGGATCTCAGGAATAACATTCAGCCAACATGTCTTGTTATTAAAAGTTATAACTGAAAGACCTGTGTTGTTAGATGATGTTACACCTGAAATTAATTGATTAGCAACAACTTATATCTAAAACTCATCAAATAAATTAAAATGTCTTTCAAATCATAGAATCACAAAACAAAAGGAAACAAAATAATTTAAAGAATCCCAAAAGAGAACACAAAGAAAGATTCATGTCTAGGGCAATTTTCAGCTTAAAAATAATCATGGACAATGAAATAATTGCTAATTATTTCTTTTCCTGCTCACTTCAGAGCCACAGACCCCAGAGAAAATAAAAATACTATCAGAATCAACAATAAACTTTCATTAAAAATAAAACAACATACATTTCCATTATAGTATTATGTTTGTAAGCTCTAATATTGATGATTGTTTTAACGATTATACTTTCATATCTCTCAATTTTATTCTTAAAAGAATTAAATTTTTGAATTTTCTGCACACTTCCACATTTTTTTAAATCTGTACTAAAATTCTCGGAATATTTCGTTTTTTACGAATCGACAGGCCTTTTCTTTTGTTAGACCGATGTGTTTAACGTGAAGGAAGACGGAAAACTGAATAGTAAATGTAAAAATGAGTCATTAAAGGGATTAAAAACGTTTTAAATATAGTTTTGACATCTTAGTAGACGGTTCACTACGATGATAATTGTTTTTCTACTCAATAAGCAGTATACTGACAAAAATTTTCTGACAATAACCGTGAATTCGACTGCATTTAGTTGCCATTCAGTGCTAAGAAAAGGTTCAGAACAGCTGTTTTATTGTGGTGCCATCTATTGATAAATTCGAAAAATTTTGCGTTTTTCAAAAACTATACTATTGACAGTTTTTATTTATCGATGCTTTAATTTTTAAAATATAAGTAGTTTAATTAATTAACGATGTAAGAAACGTTGCGTCATCAAAATACAATACTTTATGAATATTAAATTAACAAAATAGTAATCATGATAATCACTATTTTATCCCACTCGTCAGTTTAATTCATAAAACACTACTATAAACAATTTTAATTAATAACAAAATGTTAAATTTTAATTATAACACAAAAGTATTCATTATCTCATTTTTAATAAAACCACAAAATTTCACGCAATAATAATATTAATACTGTGTTACTTTTTATACAATAGTTTAATATCGTAGAAAATGTAACATCAATATATTTAAAAAGTCCGGCAACGAGTTGCGTAACTTTCCCGACAAAAGATTTAAAATTGTGCGTGGCGCCATCTGTTATATTTTTAAAAAAATTATATTTAATTATTATAGAACGACAAAAAAGCTTAATTTTGAGGATAAAGATGAGTTTTATAAAAAAAAATGTAAATGCTAATAACAAGTAAAATACAGTAATACCCCGAACTTACGCGATAGGTGGGACCGAACGATAACCGCGTAACTCCGAGTTCGCGTAAGTCGGAGTAGCGTAAGTCGAGGTATTACTGTAATAAGTTCGACCCTACTCGAGAAATGACACACGATCCTTTCTAACTTCTCACCTCCTCGACCTTTAACTATCAAAATTTAATAGCATCAATCCTCCTAATACACAAACTTCGCTGCAAAATTTCATTAGTTAACAAAGTCATATCCTCCCACACTAAAATCCATATACAGTATACAGAAAATCCTCCTCTTTTTTGCATTTCTCGAGGTTTTAAGATCCCGATTGGGAGGGGGTTATTTTTTGACCGATCGCCATATTTTTCCTCTGTTATATAGGTTTTATAACAGCCGGGAGAGTAAAAAAATCACGTACTTAAATAGATTAACATATAATATAAATTTTAATAATATATTTAAATAAACTTAATATAATGTATTACAGTGACTATAAGTAATGCAACTAATATATTTGCTCTGCAAATATAATTAAAATAATTTAACAATTCGTCTTATTTAAGAATATAGTACCTGTCTCAAAATTATATTTAGCTTTAAAAATCCCTTGAGAAGATCCGCTATTAAATACCATAACTAAACGCGGCCCTTCCGAGATAACTGCTGCTGGTGTTTCCAGTCCACAAAGCATATGATCAAATTCTTCAAAAGCATATCTTTCTTCTTGCCCTTGCAAATAAAGTTTCAAGTGACCATTTGTGCATCTGTCAGTAAAATATTCATTAAAATAATTTAAAAATTGTCTTTATATATAAAATACTGTGTATATATACTAAGAAATATTATAATCTGGCATTATATACTGAATAAATTCAAATACTATATAAAGTATATATTATATATTATTCATTACTATATTTATAGAAAATCTCATACACTAAGATATTTTTTCATCTTTATTTTTCATGTATGAGTATACTATTAACAAAAGTAAGATATATTTTAATAATAAATTATAATAAATTAAGGAGAAATATTAAAATAATTTCTGTATATAATTTAATTTATTTGTTTTTATATTAGCAAAAAATAAGAAACTACACGCCAAGAACTTCATGTTGAAGCATCTTTCAGCCATCCCAAAAACAAACAAATAAATTATTATTATTAAAGTAAAATTCAAATATGTATTTCTCAAAACAAATTATAATTTTGCTAAATATATCAAAATATATAAATGAAAAATATGTCTATACAGTAATACCCCGAACTTACGCGATAGGTGGGACCGAGCGATAACCGCGTAAGTCGAATTCGCGTAAGTCGGGGTATAATTTTGCATATAAATACATACAAATAACACAAAATAAATTGTAGCTATATGTCGAACACGTCCGAACATGTAAGCCGAACAATAGTGTGGGGAGAAATGAGTAATTAAGAGTTGCGTGGCGCTCAAACAAAAGACGAATCGACGAGATTTGAAAATTGCGTAACTCCGGATTCGCGTAAGTCGAGGTATTACTGTATATAAGTCTACTTGTAAGACTTGCATTAAGTTTCGTTATAAAAATTTTAATTATATCTCTTTATGAAGTTGGTTTTATAAAGAGGGTCTTTTGAGGGTAATTTAACAACTCCCATTGGCAAGAATTAAAAAATTAAATAAAATTAAACAATATATTATATGTAACATATTTATTTTGTATCCGTTCAATTCCTCCTTAGTCTACTGTACTGTGCTTTACTCTCTATACCTATATTGAAAAAATTAATTAACTACGGAATAATATAAAAAAATAATGTTGCACATGGACCGGTATAAAACTATATATATTTTATATATATTAAAATATCTTATGCATTTCTACCTTGAAACTAATTTTTCATTATCAAAATATATCCAATCATATGTTTATAATACAGAAGCCATCCAGTTCTATAATATTTGTACTCTAATTCAAAATTAATTCTGTTAAAAAGATTCCATTAAATATATTAATAAAATTCGCTAGATAAATACATTATACATCTAGAGAAATTTATTATAAATTTTTATACAAAGAATGTAAATAGGCCTACATAAATTATATAAGTCCTAATTAATATAGAAAGATAGATATTAGATGATAGAACTTGTTATCTAATTTATTAATAAAAATTTCCAAAATACTTAATAATTACATTTTAATATGATAGTATATTAATTAAATTAAAAATTAATTCTGTATTTTTAATTAAATCTTCTAAATTGGATTCGGTGACAAAAAATTAATTGATGAATTCTATTTTAAATAATTTTATACTTTAATAATTTTTAATGTTTTCAGAATAAAATGGTTCGAAATAAATGGACGAAAAGGATAGCATCCCTTTTTATTTGTTTTTCGATAAGAAAAATGATTAAATCCAAAATTTAAAATAATTCCAAGAATTTTAGGCACGTTTCGGATCACAATCGACACTTAAAAGAGATTGATGATCTAACGTCAAAATATGGTAAACATAATAAATGCAGTTCTGTGTAAAGTGATATTTTAGTACACAAAAAAACCAAACATCTTTTATTCTTTCTGATAATCAATAACTCTTTTGTTTGTAAAACTTGGATCCATTTTCCTGAAATTACTTTTAAAAGTTATTTCAACTCTAAAGGTTATTACATAATATAATACCCTTAATCAGGGATAACGAAAAAGTTTTTTAAGACCTTCCATTGGAGGAGAGTAAGTTGACATGCGACGTCATAGGAAAAATAAATACCAACGATGCAAGCCCTGCAGCTAGTTCTTACTTGGCCAATTCAAAGCTATCACGCGTGTAAAGAGTTGCCTGTTATATACTTCTCCTTTGGGAGTCATCATCTACATTGGGAAATCCTACTTTGGTAATGCAGAAGCTCACAAAGCACTCACAATGCATCGATTGTAATCCAATTCTCGCCTAAAATTATCATTAAAATCTTAATTTTTTAAATCGTGTTATTAAAACACTTTTTTTACTAATCTGATATTAATTTCAAAAAATAATTATTTTAACAAAAATGTATAATATATAATAACAAAATAGGGAATTAAATCGATTAATTAAGATGATTAAAATATATTTTTAACTAGAGATTAAGAATTTTATTTTCATTTCAATAGCAAATGTTATTTCAAATTTAAATATTAAAAATATGAATTTTTCTTTTAATAAAATAAATTGTAGTTACTCTTTGCTTAAATTCCCCAAAAAATTTATGGAGGCTTTGTTAAAATAATTTCAACAAATAGGAGGAGGGAAAAAAACAAGAGCATGGTGAGTAAATTAGTAATAAATGAACCATTAATTATTGGATGAACCATTAATTTTGTTTAAAACCATCAATGCTAATGGTATTCTACTACTGATAAAAGGAGGAATAATTAAAGCCAAATGTACTATTAATGTTAGAAAAAGTTCAGATAAAAGAAAACTAACTCATTATCGTTACTTGAGATTTCAAACTTTTCAAAATCCAGTTTAACTTTTTCTAAATTTTGGGTATCTTGTAAACCATAGATGTAATAACGACATACAGTGTTAGGATGATAAGGATATGGATAATTGGGTGAATAAACGTATCCTTGAGAACCTTTCTTGCTTAAAATTTTTTGATCGCATTCTGAAAATTAAATTTTAAGATAAAGTTAAAAAAGTTTGTACATTTTAATAAAATTTTTATTCTTTTTATACTAATATAATTCATTTTAAATAATAAGAATATTATTATTATATTAAATATAAATCTAGTATAATATATCATTTCATTTATTTAGAGTAATGTTCATCAATAAGATCAAAACATATTGTAATATTATAGACTATTTTTAATTTTAATCAAACTACGAATACTTTATTAATAAACAATTTATTTCCTATTGCTATTTCCAGTTTTTCATCAAGCGAAAAATATATAAACCTGTATTATAAATCCTAAAACTGAGTAGAGTTATAACTCATTATATTGTGTAATACATTATTAAAATACAGGAATATAAATAATAAAAGAAATCTAGAAATTGTGATCTAGTGTTCCAGGAAGACTAAAAGAAAAAAAGTAGTCTTAAAAATATCCATAATAGTTTTAAATAAAGGCATCGACTGAAAGAGGAAAAAGAACTATTTTCATATTTTATCCAAAGATTTTATATATAACTTTGATTTACACAAACTAAAACTCATTAATTAATTGTTTCAATTGTCAAAAAAATTGCATTGTCTTTCAATGTTATCTTGTCTCAACTGAAATTAACGGAAAGGAAATGAAACTTGGAGAAAATCTTTATTTAAAAAAATAATCAAAATATACATAATTAATTTTTGATTTTAATTCTGTATTAATTACGATTGTCAGAATATATCAATTATATATATATATATATTTTAAATAAAACGTTTAATTACAATATAATTTGAAAACTTACATCTTCGAATCAGGCTACTTTGTTGGATCGATTTAACAGATTTTATTTAGATACATTAATTATAAAACTTTAAATTATATATATATATAATTTTAAAATAAATTAACAATATATTATCATTAATTTCTAGAAACTTGCTTTTGAACAAATAAAAAAATAATCAGTTAACCCTTTAAGTTATCATAATTCAGGATGAGAGTCATTAAAAAGTAATCGATATAATGTAAAATTGCTTCCGTGACAAGAGAACATAAAACTATAAATAACAACTCGGTACTACGCATTTTTATACAGACTTTTAAAGTACTCTTTCCCTAATACAAGGTTTTATGAGTTACAACTTATTAAAGCATAATTAGGTTAGGCAAAGATCAATTTTACGCGTTTTAAACTATAAATCACCATGTTAAATTTAACAAGTCAACAGTTTTACCCTGTTGTCAATTTTTATTAACGAAAGAAACCAAAAGAAAAATTACCTGTTCCACGAATATGTTCACCATCGTTTTTTCCAATAAAATCTACAAATAATTTTTTAAAACAATTAATTTGTTATGGAGAATAAATGATTGTATCTCTAGCTACGATAGGATTATGATAATTCTGACCTACCTAAGCTAACAAATCTCTCACTAAATTCAAACCAAGCTGAAAACCCACGATTAGCCGCTTGTGCTGTCCTTTTCAGAGTAATGAACTGAACATACAAATTTTCCGTAGATGAGTACACCACTAAATTACGTTGTTGACCACAATACGTTCCAATAAGCATGTCTTCACCGGAATCACCATCGTAGATCTTCATATAATCGAACGGGCAACTGTAAAGAAATCAACACTTTTATATGATAAACTATAGGCCTATCCATCCTCAAATACTGTATATAAATTATTTTATATTTTGATTAAAGAACAACATTCACTAACGATTAATTTGTATCTTAAAACAGTTATTTTTGTTTAACTGATATATTAATTTTCCGACATAACCTCTGAATATATTTTTATAAAATTATTTTTAACTGTATTATTAAATACATTTGTACATTTCTGTATATAAAATTGTAATTATAACGTCATCTTTCCATTATATTTAAATATAAAATTAAAGTATACTTTTTAAATTTTAAAGTAAATAAAAATTGCAAAATTTTATTTAAAGAAAACAAAACAAAATAAAATGTAAGAATGTGTTGACATTATAAAATTTATAAAAATTATATACGGTAATTTAAAATACAAATATTAAAATTTTTAATTTTTATATTAATCAATCTCTCAAAATTTAATAAATCTAGCTTCGATTTAATTCTTAAATAAGATTATAATCTTTGAAAATATTAATGAAAAATAAAGCAAATTAAATTTTAATTACAGTATATTTATTTAATGGTAATAACAATAGAATATTATATCTTTGAAATAAAAAAAAGCTTTTTATTTTATTCTATTTTGTTAACTTTTATTTGCTAAACTAAAGTTCATTTCCGAAATGATTTCAATGAAATTAATTTAAAATTCAGTTTTATAAAAATGACTCAGGATTAAAATCGTAATACTTCGATGTAATTAAATGAGAAAGATTAAAAAATTAGATTTAATTCATTCGATATAATTACTGTATAGAAAGCCTAATTTTGGAACTTCATTCACTAAGGGCGGATTTTATATTTTTTGTGCCTTTAATAAACTGTGAACAAGCTCTCCAGCGGTGTTTATATCGCAACAGTTAAGATTTAAAATTATTTTCAAAGATAGGATTGTCCAATGTTAGTGAGTTAATAATTATACCGTAAAAATTAGTTTTCGGGCTTTCCTGAAAAATATTTTTGTGATATCGCCCTTTGGCCCACCTATGGCCGAATGAATAAAACCATTAAACACTAGTAGTTGATGGCGGATTATCGTGCTTTATCAACGGATCGGACAAGTGGAGCTTTCCGAGTTTTCTTCATGTGTTTAAAATCTAAATAGGGGACCAGTTTACTATAAAAAGTTCTGGGAAGCAGATCGCCAATTTGTTGTCTTGTTGCGTTGCCGAATACCCTTATGCCCTTAATGAACAAAGTCTCAGAATTATTTAAAAACTATCGGTTATTTTCTTTTATTTTTCAAATAAATCGCGTTCTAATTTATAAATTTATATTAGAATTTATTAAAGTTACTTAAACATAGATAAATTAAATGTTATTTCTGAAGATTAATGAATAATATTTTTAAAAAATATCCTAATATTGTAGATATTTTTCAAACGATTGAAATGTTTTGGTTTGTCAAAAACTTACAATTTGATTTGTACATTATTGTTTGATCAAAAATTCTGATTTTATTTCGGATAAGTGTTTTGCTTGTCGAGAACTTTGAAAAAGTATTGGAAAACTAAATTTGCATGTCGTATTTATATTCAGAGTTGGATCGAGGCCATTTGTTTACCCCAAATTTATGATAATCAGTAGAACGTGTTCAACGAGAAAATATTGAGAGTTAAATTTAAAAAATCACCCATCTAAACAAATCATACGAAAATACTTCAGGATGATATATTCAAATCATGGATATAAATAATGCAGTCTTATTGTTTATAACAAAGAAGTTTTTGAAGGGAAAACACTAGTTATTTTCATTTTTATTTTGAAAATTATTTTTAAAATTCATATTACTTCATGTCATGTTTTCGATAAGATCTAAAAAAAAAGAAAGAGAAAATTAATGAAATTTTAAGAAAAACAAAGGACAGAAATACTTACTGCGAACCGCCATAAAAAAGATCGAAATCCATAAACTCTAGTCGTACTCTCTGATTTTTCCTGCCAATAAATTTATATTCACAATTCAAATGTTTAGGATATACACCAGGATAAGTAGGGGATAAAAATTCCCCTTCCCTTTTGCGGTCGCTGTACACGGTGAAACTGCAAACTGTATTGGGAGTTGGCGTTCCAACAACGAATTGAGCTAAAATTTCAGAAACGGTCAATTAGCATATTTTATGTAATTTATCCATTTTATTACTTTAAACAATATACATACTAGCATCTATAAAATCGTAAATCCCTCCAAAAATGTTACTGTTGACTTCGGTATCCTCCGTATAGAACGACATAACGAATGTCTGGTACATGGAAATTCTAGTGGTTGGCAAATTCTTGCCACAGATCCTACCACCAAAAGGAGTATCGATGAGATCAATCGACGGATCCTCCACTTCCATGTACAGATCTATGTATTCATAGTTGCATCTATGACAGTAAAAACTTGGTTAATTTTAATACTTTAGTATAGATATTGCATATTTTATTCACGGTGATTCTTAATTCTATACTTTTTAGCAACGGTACTGCGACTACTACTTTTTTTTTTAAATTTAACAGTACAGTTTCATTTTGACCGGCTTACAATTTTGCAATTTTATAATAAAGGAAAAAACTTAGAAAAAGTAATCGCCGTGTCATTTAAAGTTTAGATTTTTATTTTAAAGAAATCCCTTTATATTGATAGATCAATCATGGAGCAGATGCATAAATTCTTCTGGCATGAAATGAAAGTAATTACTATCTGAATAACGATAAAGAAAAGAAAAAGATTACAGTACCACGTTATCTTAGTGATACTTTGATGATACAGCAATAGCATGATTGATGGTATCAATGCATTTAACAAATAGCAGCATCACACGCTTCGCAGCTAATTAACTATTACGGACTAATGTGGGTGAGAAATCTGGATGTATTTTTGTAACAAAACTTTTATCAAATGTAAAAATTAATTAAAAATATAACGAATTTTTTAATATCATAAAATTCTTACTTTTTATTAGTGATCATTTCGGAAAATTTAAGAATTTTTACTGAACTTTATCATTATAAATACTACATTAACATGAAAGATTAAAATCATTTCCCATCAATACACATTACTGTATTCTCTATATCGATAAACCATTTACCGCAATTTATAATCTAGAATTAATATCTCATAAATCTTTTCTGTTGTTTATATGAATAATATATGTTTCTAAAACGCATTTCGAACTTTATCAAAAAAAGAAAAAAAAAAGAAATATGAATATATCATTCATCATTTTACAGAAATTACATTATACTGCAGCGATTGTGATTTATCTTCTAACATTTTCATATTGTGATATATATATATATATATAAATTAAATATTTATTAATTTTCAAATTCGGATAATTCTCATTTCGATATTATATATGCACATATATGTTACATAATCCAATAATCCTAGCTGGAAATTAATGTGCCTATAAACAACATTATGCATTCATCTAAAATCGTACTTTAATGTAAGTTATACATAATGGAAATGCTCACTGTGTTCGTAAACAGAATGATTAATTAATAAATAAACAGTAATCAGAGTATTAAAACAAAGTTTAAGTTTTAATTTGTTCTAAATGAGATTTAAGTTTTATATATAAGCCTAATGTTTTCTACATTTCCACCCATGATGCAAAATATATTCATCAGAAATGTAAAATACATCATACAAATTGATGCAATGTGAATAAAAAAAATTGTAATTTAATAACGCTTTTGATTATTTTTATCAAATCCTCTTAATATTTTTGTAAGTACTGTAATAAGCTAATTGATTAGTTTCATGAAAAACAATAGTTTAATCAAATTTGACTTTAAAATGGTGAAAATGATTTCCGAAAAAATTTAAAAAATCATTCATAAATTGTATAAAATATATAAATAATGGATAATCTTTATATATAGTATATCTAAATACAGCGATTCTTACTATTGTAAATCGACTTATAAAATAAATAATATTCATGCTCCATTCACAATAGTAGAATGTTTTCAGTTGACTTAAGCCAAGTATTTGAAAATATACAATAGATTCTTCTTGAAAGATTTCTCTTATTTACATTTACTTACTCTGGAGGTTGACCCCGCAAGTCGAATTCAGTAAATTGTATCCGAACTCTTTCGTTTTCAGCTGCAATAAATGTATAGATGCATTGACGAGAATGATCTTCTTGAATTTTGAACGAAGGAGCGTTAAAAGTTCCATTCTTTGGCCCATCTGTATTACTAATATACATCCGGTCGCATTCTGATAATGAAACTGTATAAATTTAACATAACTTCTCGTAAATTTTAATCACAACTCTACCAATTTAACATAAGAGAATTAATTAAATATAATAATAAAAAAAATGTATATATGTAACTAATTGTATAACGAAGGAATATTATTTATACAAGAGTTCTCCATGATTCAACTTACCATCTTTTTAAGCGAATATAATGTTTAAAATTTAGAGAGAATATTATATAAAAGAGAATTAAAAAAACCTGAAAACGTTATAGTGTATTTAATACGATGTGCATGGGAGTAGACGTTTTGATTCACGAAATAGGAATCTTATGTGAAGTGATGTGTTGCGTTACAATGGTATTTTGGGTCGTGATAGGAGGAGATCACAGATGATACCAGAGACTAGATGTTTTTTCCTAGAACAATAAAATTCGAATAGACGACAATCCTGGGGGTTGTAATGTTTCAAAAATAGAATAGGTTTGACCGAAGAAAGACTCTTATCATTCAGTAGGATCTACTTTATAGCTGACCGAAGTCAAATGTGATCGAAATTTTAAACGAAAATTTTTCCATTGTAAATAAAAATTTTCCATTTTATCAAAAATAATCTACCAACTCTTTTAAGTTTTCATATAGGTCTCTCTCTCTCTCTATATATATATATATATTTAAATATATTTCCGGTTTAAATCATTTCGATCTGAAAAATATAAATGGAGCTATTAATATTTATTGATTTACACTTTAGGATATTTCGAATGAAAAACAATGAACTTGATCAAAAGAAGCAAATAACATTCCTTTAAATGAAATTGTTTTTTATATGAAAATCTCATTTAGAAAATTGTTTTTAACGTAATATTTACGAATCTGCTCTAATAGCATTTAAGAATAGTTTCGCTTTATAAAATAATTCATATATTTAATTTATACTAACCTTTTGCTATTTGTATATTATAGAAATAATGTATACAAATGGTTGCAATTTCTCATAAATATGTAAAATAAAAAAATATATATATTGTAAAAAATTTTAGTAATCCGATATACACATCAAAATGCAGAATTTTTCATTAAAAGATATGATATAAATCATGATTGATGGCAGGTTAATCTGCTAAGTCATTTTGATAATTTTTTTTATCATAATCAAATCCACCGTGATGTAATTTAGAAAAAAAAGAAAATAAATTCTTCAAAAAAACAATGTTTTTATTAATTTAATAAAACTTTAGTTAAAATACATTTTAAATTAAATTATACAGAATTTGTTTCATTTAAAAGCACGTAATTTTGCATGTAATTAATTAAATAATAATAATAATATACTGTACATATTTACGCATATAAATAAAAAACTATATATGTATGTATATATATACAGTTGTTTTTATTTATTTATTGTTTTTACGTTAAGAAAATTTTACAGAACCAATTTATAACCAATTCAAAAGTATTAAAATAAATTAAAAATAACTGTATTAAATTTAATAATAAATACACAATAAATTTTAAGATATATTTAAGTAAAGAAACAAAATATTACTGATTAAAAATATAATCAATAGAAAAATAAATTATGTAAATTTTTCATCCTATAAATTAGATTTAGAAATTAAGCAATTATCGCAACGATGAATGCATTCCATCCTTACTGAAATAACTAGTGATATTAATTAGTGCTTATTAAGAAATTGTTAATTAAGTAATATTGCTTAAATATCGTTTACATTGAAGTCTCCACAATAATTTATTATAACACAACTTCGACTTTCTATTAAGGTTTCAATTAGTAACATTCTCGTTTGGAAATGTTCTGGTTCGTTTGTCGCTTCATGGCTTGTTATAGATTTTTCGATTGGATTAAGATCGAAGAGAACCAGCTATTCCACTGAGTGACTTCATTACCTTCCAACAATGTTTGATAGTTTCTTAGGCTGATAGGCAGAGTTTCATCACCAGCAATATTTAGGGTAATATTACTACATTGAAACCTACTAAATTTTTCTGTTTTAATTACTCATAACCGAGTAAAATAAAGTATAAATTGAAATTGCAAAGCGAAAAAGTTATTTTTAAAAGAAAAAAACAAGATTGATGTATGGGATTAGCAATCGATTGAAGTGCATTAAAGTCTAGTGAACCTAAGGCCATAAAATCACTTTGATAGACTTAAAAGTAAAAAAAGTGAGGTTTCCTTTAATACAGATTCTCGATTATTTCTTCTAAAGTTTAATCCCATAAACATTATATGTCAATAAATAGGAAAGATATGTCCTTCGAGGACTGGATGCTGAAATAAATCTCCTTGATTAATCTTATTTAAGTTGACATTGCTTTTTTTATTTTATTTTTTATTTGCGTTAAATAAAAATGACTGATGAAACGATTCCTCAAAGTTCTAAGAGATTTTAGATGGGCTTAAAGTTTAAAACAAACTTTGATTTATTTCATTTTTTTGTTTCCTTGTATTTCATCGATTTTTACTGGTTAACAACTTGAAAAAAAATATGAGAAAAGTTTTGACATTTTAGCAAATTAAAACGCATTTAATTATTTTTAAAAAATAATTTCTTACTTTCGAATTTTTAAATTTACAAAAAAAAAGTACAGTAAATTGGTGGATAGACGGGTGAGTTTTATTGATTTAAGGACAGAGACTCTTACAAACAATACAATTCAATTGGTAAGAGATAAATAAAGCGAGTAATACAATAAAATAAATATCGAAGTAAAACAATAAACAACAAAACTAAATGAAAAAAAAATCCGAAAAAAAAGGATATAAAATTCTTCTTAAATCTCTGAAATTCCGGAAGAATTTCCCAGATATGAGAGTAGAAAACAAAGTATATAAATAATTTAATGACTTTTTAATGTCTGTTCTACAGAAGGTACAGTACAACAGGCACTGAAAGATCATTAAATAATTTAGATTATTCAGAAAATGTTTTAACAACATATATATAAATTTGATTTGAAAGAACAATGATATAATTTTAAGTTATAATGAACTTCAATCTTCCATGATTAAGAAATATATCAGAAATTACACTTATGAAATATGAATGAAAGTAAGTAAAATCTTTTAACCAGACATGAGAAATCATAAAATTAAATTGAATAATATTTTTTAAAACAAATTAGCTGTGTATGTGTGTATACCAGACATTAATTTAAAAAATTGCCAGTTGATGCAAAGATATCAAATTGTTAAAGTTTAAAACTGTTCAGCCATTTTAAAAAGTAATATTTTTAATTATAAAATACAATATTCTAATAACATAAAATTATTTCAAAAAAGGTTATAATGACAAATATGTATAATTTTCATCTGACAAGAGGACAGAAAGAATGATAAATGATTATAAAATAACTACTATAACTATTGATTATTACTATTATTTACTATTAAGAGTTAATTACACACATGTAATATAATTCCTTGTAAAATTATACAGAGTATCGAAGAAATTATAATCGAAAAGTTTAAAGCCGATACAATTCAAAAGATTTTTGATATATATTGTTCATTGCTTTTTGCCCTTTAGTTACATTAACTTTTTGTGATAACTTTTTAAACTTAAATTTTGTGGTGTGTTAAGCCCTAAAATTTAAGTAACTAGTTAGGTTATCTCAAAAAGTTAATATTTGCTATAACAACAAAAATAAAAATATAAAAGCAAATCTTCCTACACGAAGAGTGCTTATACACATTTTTCAATACTTCTATATTTTAAAAAGTAGTGATCCAAACAAGAGGATAATAATAATGTCCTTTTATCGGATAAGAACCATCTTCAGTCTTTTAAAGATATCGAAAGAAATTGAGGTTTATCTCCCAAGATACGATACAATAGTCACTGGTAAAATCCACATAGAATTGTGTAGATCTGTACTTTCACATCAAACATTTTTATCCATTAGATGGATTTCAGAAGAAATATTAATAATCTACAAAATGACTTGAAAGAACCTATTCCTTTAGAGAATATTATTTTATTGTTATTATTATGAAAGAATAGAATAATAATAACAATAAAAAAATATTCCTTTAGAGAATATTATTTTATTGTTATTATTATGAAAGAATAGAATAATCCTTTACTGATCCAAGAAAATATTTACTTTCATTAAACATTACCGAATTAATACTTCATAAAGTTTTTATTGTACCGTGTTTAAAAGATATTAATTTTTTTTCCAGTTAAAAGTTTTATTAAAAGTTTCTAAAAGTAATATTTAATTTTATTTTTATATAAAAATAAAACTTGAAATTAAACTTTCACATTAAAATTTAACTTAGAAAATCATAGATAACCAATGTTTTATTAAAAAATTTTATGAGTAAAATAAAATTTAGATTTTCATTTAATATAATTTACTAATAATTTATTAAATAAGAAAATTGTAAAAATTTATCAATTGAAAAAATTGTAGACCTATAAATTCCCAATGTCGTCCGTCCGTCTGTCTTTCCTTAATCTCAAAAACGGAGTTAGATAAATGGCAGATGAGAACAGATATGGAAACCTTACGTCCACGAGGCCGATTAACTATATGCTAACCTCTGATGCAAACTGGAAGTCACGTTATTTTAATTCAAAAATTCCCCTGAAAGGAGTTAGATAGATGACCGGCACGACTCGGTTGCGAAAGGAAAAGTATGATGTACAGGAGCAAGACACTGCTAATTTGAAGGTGGAGAGTATATATTTTAAATTAAATAAACTAAAAATATGATTAAAAATAATTGCTCGTTTATTATTATAATTAATTCAACTTCTTTCTAATCGCTGCAAGGTAGATAAGTGAGTATACTGAAACAATTATAGTATTTTATGCTTGCATAAGATTGATTATGATGAAGGCGTAAGGTTAAGATAAAACGAAACAAATTTGGAATATTTTCTATATTATTTTAGTAGTGCTACACGTTTCTTAATATAAAATATCATAAAAAGAGTACGAAAAATCACAAATTTTAATTATAAAATTAAAAAAAAAATCCTAAATATATCAATTTCTTATTTATGTTATTTATTAGCGACGTGTTGAACTAGCAAATGCTATCGATATAACCGTTGATTTTCACAAAATTTCAAATGC